ACTAAATTCATGCAAAATGAAATCTAGCTTCCTCGAAACATACTCACCCTTGCTTATTGAAGCTGAACGAAGAATAATTTTAGCTTTTCGAAGCTGAAAACGGTAGCAATCAGGTTAATTGGCGTATCAGCCATTATCGATCGCGGCGGCGTCGGACCGCTTGCCAACGTGGACGAAGGACCGCCCCACCGTCCGAAGAGAACTCGACTGTAAAGGTGCCTTTCGTTGGAAAACGCGCCACACAGCGCCTAGGGCACGGAATGCTTTCGTGCATTCATATCGAACCTGCATACCTTGTCGATCTATCGTGCAACTTGCCTTTGATAGGCATTCCTGTACATATTTGTAGTACAGTAAGCACTGACCGCCTTATTCCATTTCTACCGCTGTTGCAGATCAGGACATGCAAGCCCGGGCACTGCGCGCAGATTAAAAGCATTTACTAGCTGGTTGATCTGCGCGCAATGTCTTGGTGCAAATGTCCCACAACTGACACAATGACGACCTTTTGGCCATACTCGGCGAAATCACAATCTGTATTACTATTGTTAGCGGCAACTTTTAAAGATATTTCTTCTCTTCTTTCTCCTCCTCATCGCAAAGGATAATACTCACGCAGATGTATACACTAAATGAAAATCTCTAAATGATGCTGCGCAAGCCTTAGAGCAGGTGAAAAATACAGCCACGGGATCGTACAGTGATAGACATGGCAGTTATATTCCTTGAGCCAGTTGGCACGATGATTTGGTGCTCGGCCTAAAATGCTAGTAGGGCGCTATATAGTGGGGAAATGGCGAAAGAACGGAGTGAAACGGTCAAAATCCTGCGAAGAAAGAGCCTCCGTTCTCAATGTGTTCAAAATCAATTTTGGACGAGTTTCCCGTAGGCATCTTGCCAATAACCGCTACCGAAGATACGGCTGCATATGTGTACTCATATATCCATGCAGCATCACGGCCGCTTCATACCAATCCCTTCGCTTCATAATTTGCTTAGCAAATGAATGAATACGAGCGTCAGGAACGGTCGTCCATTTGTGGGCGGGCGGGCGTGGCGGGCGTTTGGGACGTAAAGTTGTGGCTTGATAGGGCCCTTATAAGGGCACCTTCCTTGGAAAAGGCATTATGCAGCGCCTGCTCAGGGTCGCGGAATTCCGTCCTGCCAGGCGTATTAATCCTACTCGTCTTAGGGATTTATCGTGCCAATTTCCTTTAACAACCGAACCGACGGGGAGTGTCAGTGCCATGTGGATTTTGGAGCAGCGTCAGCTCATTTTCCACAGATAGTTGCTCGCCTCACGCCGCAACGACTGTTGGGGTACGAGCTGGCGCTGTGCCAAAATTCACGTCACATTGACAAGCCCCGTCTATTCGGAAGGACTGTATCTTTTTGAACCCTGTCCATGTCTGCTGTAAGTTACAAGGGTGCCGAAAAAATCATGGGAACTGCACGAACATTGTCCTCTCTGGCACGATAACAACAGCACTGTGGCAGTCTCATCGTTCAAAAAAATTCAGCAGCTGGAATGAGTACTGCTTACAACAAAGTATGACTCACCTATCAACGTCTTCTGGTAGCTTCTTGTTCGTGGTCTGAAGATCAGCCAGATCGTAAATTTTTGCTGGTTTGCTCATATCAGGAAGCGACGAGCGTAAGGTGTGGCGCATTTCTCCTACAGTTCGCATTCCACCAATTGTACCAGCCAAAGAATCTTAAGAAATATGTTCATATCGAGTCGGTTCACCGAAACATGACGAAGGCTTATAACTGAACTATATAAAAGTAGGGGTATCGATTAAATTCGACACCCCCGCCCTATTCTCGATATTTGCAAAAGATGTCCACTCACGGTCTGAGTACTGACTGCTTATTGTAGTGTCTAAATTCTCCATAGAAAGTGTCCCGTAGTTGTACCCGGTCGGAAGTGTTGCTGCTCGTATTGTACTGCCTGGAATGTACACAAATATAGGATGAGACAACGCTAATAAGAAACGAATCAAGCTTCTGCAACTACGTCGGCACAAAATAATTACCTCTGCTCTCTGGCACATGGAAACATGGCAGTGTATTTCCTTGAGCACGTTCGCCACCCTGCCAAGCAACCCATGGTCGTGGACGATTAAGATGACGAGAAGGTGCTGAAAAGCGTACACATCAGTTAGTTCGTTGATCCAAGAAAGTGCCAGAAGTGTTCACTGAGCATTTCTG